GTTTCTCAGTATATATAAAAGTTATGTTTACACTAGACTATAGTCTATTAAGTATGCAATAACATTGTTTAAAATAACCAATGCACATACCATAATTTAAAAGTACTTTATTGCTAAAAGTTGCTAATCATCATCTGAGCTTTCAGTGAGTTGTAATCTTTTTGCTTCTGGAGGATATTGCCTCAGTGTTGATGGCTGCTGACTGATCAGGGTGGTGGTTGTTCAAGGTTGGGGTGGCTGAGTTAATTTCTCAAAGTAAGACAATAATGAAGTTTGCCATTTAGATTTTCCTTTCATGAATGATTTCTCTATAGCATGAGATGCTGTTTGATAGCATTTTATCCACAGTAGAACTTATCTCAAATTGGAGTCAGTCATCTCAAACTCTGCCACTGCCTTACCAACTAAGTTTATATAATATTCTAAAACCTTTGTTGTAATTTCAACAATCTTTACAACATCTTCACTGGGAGTAGATTCCATCTCAAGAAACCACTTTTTTTGTTCATCCATAAGAGGCAATTCCTTGTCCATTCAAGTTTTATCATGAAATTGTAGCAATTCAGTCCCATCTTCAGGCTCCACCTTTGCTATTTGCACCACATCTGCAGTGACTTCATCCACTGAAGTCTCAAACACCAAAGTCATCCATAAGGGTTGAAATCACCTTCTTCCAAATTCCATTTAATGTTGATATTTTGGCCTCTTCCCATGAATCATAAATGTTCTTAAAGGCATCTAGAATGGTGATTTCTTTCCTGAAGATTTTCAATTTACTTTCCAGATTCATCGGAGGAATCACTCTCCATGCAGCAATAGCCTTACAAAATGTATTTCTTAAACAATAAGACTTGAAAATCAAAATTACCCCTTGAACCATATGTTAGCAGGCATGAAAACAACATTAATCTTTCTGTACATCTCTATCAGAGCTCTTGGAGAACCAGTTGTATTGACAATGAGCAGTAATATTTTGAAAGAGATTATTTTTTCTGAGCAGTTTTTCTTGACAGTAGACTTACAAATATTTTGTAAAGCATGTTGTAAACAGACGTGCTGTCATCTGGGCCTTGTTGTTCTATTTCTAGAACACAGGAAGAGTAGATCTATCATAATTCTTAAGGTTCCTAGGATTTTTCAGAATGGTATGTGAGCATTGGCTTCAACTTAAAGTCACCAGCTGCATAAGCCCCTAACAAGAGAGTCAGCCTGTTCTTGAAACTTTGAGGCCAGGCATTGACTTCTCCTCTTTAGCTATGAAAGTCTTAGATAGGATCTTCTTCCAATAAAAAAGCTGTTTCATCTACATTGAAAATCTGTGTGGGGCACCTGGGTGGCTCAGTTGGCTAAGGGTCTGCCTTTGGCTCAGGTCATGATCCCAGGGTCCTGAGATAGAGCCCCACATCGGGCTCCCTGCTCAGCAGGGAGCAGGGAGCCTGCTTCTCTTTTTCCTTCTCCCTCTGCTGCTCCCCCTGCCTGTGCTCTCTCAGGGTTTTTCTCTGTCAAATAAATAAATGAAAATCTTAAAAAAAATAGAAAATATGTTGTTTAGTGAAGCCATCTTCATGAATTATCTTAGCTACATCTTCTGGATAACTTTGGTGCAAATTCTACATCAGCAGCTACCTTGTCACCTTGCACTTTGGTGTTATGGTTACAACTCCTTTCTTTAAATCTCATGAACCAATCTCTGCCAGCTTTGACCTTTCCTTCTGCAGCTTTCCGAGCTTTTGCAGCCTTCACAGAATTGAAGAGAGTTAGAGCCTTGTTCTGGATTAGGTTTTGGCTTAAGGAAATGTTGTGACTTGTTTCTTCTTCTATCCAGACCACTAAAACTCTCTCCGTATCAAAAGTAAGTCTGTTTGGTTTCTTATCATTCATGTATTCACTGGAGTGGCCATTTTAATTTCCTTCAAGAACTTTTCCTTTGCATTAGTAACTTGGATGTTTGAATCAAGAGGCCTAGCTTTCAGCCTATCTCAGCTTTTGACATGCTTCCTCATTAAGCTTAATTATTTTTAGCTTTTGGTTTAGAGTGAGAAACACACAACTTTCCTTTCACTTGAACATTTAGAGGCCGTTGTAGAGTTATTAACTGGCTTAATTTCAATATTGTTGTGTTTTTGGGAGTAGGTGGTGGAGCAGTCAGAACACACACATTTATTTAGTTTCCCCTCTTTTATGGGCACAGTTCATAGCACCCCAAAACAATTACAATAGTAATATCAAAGATCATTGATGACAGATCACCACAGTAAATATAATAATGATGAAAAAGTTAAAAATATTGTGAGAATTACTGAACTGTGACACAGAGACACAAAATGGAAAAATGGCACCAATAGAGTTGCTCGACAAAGGATTGCCACAAACTTTCTATTTGTAAAAAATACAGTATCTGTAAAGTGCAATAAAGAAAGCATAATAGGGGCGCCTGGGTGGCTCAGTTGGTTAAGCGACTGCCTTCGGCTCAGGTCATGATCCTGGAGTCCCGGGATCGAGTCCCACATTGGGCTCCCTGCTCAGCGGGGAGTCTGCTTCCCCCTCTGACCCTCCCCCTTCTCATGCTCTCTCTCTCTCTCATTCTCTCTCAAATAAATAAATAAAATCTTTAAAAAAAAAAAAAGAAAGCATAATAAAGTGAGGTATGTCTGTATCTGTTTTTCCATTTTCAAGTTTCTCCTTTATGTTACTGGGTTTCATTATTGTTGAAGTCTTCTTTTACTTTTAGATCTTCTTCACATATAATCATTTAAGTCTTAGGAGATATTTTTCCCCTTTACCATGTCTTTCAAATGTATCTCTGTCCCCATTCTTTCTGTTTAACACCCTAGTCTATTCCTTCATTACTTCATATCTTAATCACTAAATTTGCTTCCTGGTTTGGCTTCCAGTTTCAAAAGTTTCTGTTATGATATGTACATTCTTGATTAAACTTCCTGTTTCTCACTAAACCACTCACTAAAAAGAACAGGATTTATGGAAAAATAGGGCTAGAGACAGACCAACAGATCCCTCAAAGTCTCTGCAACTTTGTACCCAGAGAATTAACAACAGCAGCAAAATTGTATCTTGAAAAATAGCTTGGAGAGTGTGGGCAGGCAGAATGCCCAGGGTGGCTGGTGGCTGACTTAGGGTTTGTTAAAAAATGCACAGAAATGACAGAGTGGAAGTACCAGCTTGCTGGGGCTGAGACAATGAACATGAAAGGGTAACCCTGAGCAGAGGAGAAAGTGCAACCTGCCAGGATCCATGAATGGAATGAGGCTGTGGTGTGCTTCTCTGGCAGGGGAAGTCCAGGGCACAGGCACTTTTTAAATACTTTCTTTAAGTAGAACCCCAAGGCTCCCTATTTAGTGGGAGGTCTGCTCCTCCCTCTCTCTCTGCCCCTCCTCCAGCTTGTGCTCTCTCTCAACTAAGTAAACAAAATCTTAAAAAAAAAAGGGGGGGAGCCCCAAAGACCTCTGCCTGTGCAACAGCTCAGGTGAGAGCTTTTTCCTCTTCTTCTGAAGATTATAATTCTACTCTCATTATTCTGGCTTCCCTGCTGAAGACAAAACACATATAAACCATCACAATCTCTAGCTTATACTGATATAACTCCCCCATTCACCAATCATGTGTAAGCTAACTAGTTTTAGCAGGACAGACTATCTTTTGATACTTGTTGGTGGACATCACCTGATGCAACTTGCAAGGTTGTTAAGTACACTGCTTTTTTCCTTAATTACTTTTTTCTCAGACTCATTTGCACCTTTCTCTTAAATAGATTTAAATTTTGTGATCTCTGGAATCTTCTATTTCTTCATCCTAATCTGCTCTGCTTTCATATAGCTTTGGGCTTCAATTATCAAAATGATTTATTTGTATGCTACCTGAAGGCAAGGCCCATGTATTTACACTCTTTTGACATCTCCTATGACTTTGAGGGTATGGGTAAACACTTATTGTTAATTGATTTAAAAATTACAGACACATTATTACAAATTCAGTTACCATTAGTATTACTTAATATTTTTACATGAACAAAAGAAATTGCACAAGGAAGTTAATGTAATGCAGGGGAAGAAATCTGGGCTTTTGAGTTAGATTGCTCTGGATTCAAATTCATTTCTGCCCCTGAATAACATGTACCATCAGGCAAATTACTTAATTTCTGTGAGTTTTGGTTTCCTTATTGCTAAAATGGAGAAAATGAAACTTCACATTTTGTTGCCAGAATTACATAAGTTAATGAGATAATATGTAATTAATTAAGAGCTCCATAGAGTGCTGAACATTTAATGGGTGGTCAATATTAGAGATCCCAGAATTTTGAGGAAAAATCAGCCTGTACCTTGTTTTTATGACCTGTATAAAGAAACAGCTCTTTAGAGTTAACAAGGCTTAAACAATTGGAATTTCTGGTTTTAAATATGTATTTACTAAGTTCTGATTTATGCCAGGCTCCATGCTAAGCACTTTATACTTACTGTCTTACATAATCTTCAAAATTATCACTGGAGGTAGGTATTATTAAGACCATTAAATATGTAAATTAAAGGTCTTAGCCAGCTGGAAGAGCCAGACTTGAAATTTAAACCCAGGTGTCTGAGTGTAGTGTCTGTGCTTTTTATCAGTAATAGACTCACCATTCTTTTGGGAGCTATGTCACACT